CACATCAGGGGCTCTGTGCTGCACCACTGGAGCAGAAAACCCCATTTCTCAGGGGCCCAGCATTTGCTATCAGCCTTCACCCTACCCTGAAAACAACTGCAATTCAAGATATATGGTTGTATTTCTTAACATTAAAGCTTCAGTCTAATACTAAACTGAAAGACGTTTAGACATTCAGCAAACACCCTTCGGTTACTGTGGCTTATTACTACACTGATTTTCCCAGATGATATCCATTAATACTCCATTATTTATGGCATGCTTATCTCATCTGTTGCTTTTATACTGCCAAATGGATTCACTTAGCATTAACAGACACTTGGAACAAAAATAAGACAGTAACAACACAGCTAGCTAGAATCAAGCCTGTTCAACTACCACTTCCACGCACAGGTATTCTCCTTCCATTTCACATGTATATCCTTACTACCAGCTTTGTGTATCTTACATGAGATGTAGGCTCCTGTTACTATCAGCTGCTTTAGAAACCACAGACCATGCTGCAATAGCCAGTATCTCACAGAACAACCATCTTTCACATGGGCTGCACAAGTCAACCATGCTCCTTTATAACTAAATCCTTCCCCTGTTTAAAGTCTTGCTTTTTTACTCCCCTAGCACAAATGCAGACCCATTTTTCTTGAGCTTTTCTACATAAAGAACAACCATAAGCCCCAGCAGTGCCAAAGTCTCCAAAAGCACTTCTACAGAAGCCAGCTGGTAACTACCAGAGCTGTAAAAAAATTCATCTTGTCCCATACTTAGGACAGAAACCCTGCTTTTATTGAGCTGTTTCTACCTTTACTCATCCCAGTGTTATAACTCTGTGTTCCAATAGCTTTCCAAATAATCAGGCCACCTCCAAAAACACCTGACCAGCTGCAGCAACAGACTGTGGAAGCATTTTCACAAGAAACAAAAAATACACTGATTTGAAGGAGCACATGTTTGTCAGAACACTGCTAGTGAAGGGGTAGGAAATATAACACATCTGCCTTTTCTGCAGAAAATTAAAGCCAGCAGGAATACATCTGCTTAATGACTCCAGAGATTTAACTTGCCTTACATAGTTAAAGTCAACAGGATGTAATCCAGCAATTTGAACCTAGCAAGTAGATGTTTGGGATGCAGAAGAAGTGAACTATTTAGACACACCTGGACAGAGCAAACACAGCTACCTTGGGGATCCCATCAGCAAAACAAGAACCAACTACAGGGGCTGAAAAGAATTCCCAGAAGCACTGTAAAGGGCCTCTTTCTTATGAGCACACTGAAATTACAGGGCTTACTTTTTTGCTTGTGTCACTCCTTGCTCCTCAGAATTCCTACCTTTCACATGAAATAGAAAGGTGCTCCCTGAAGCTCCTGTCACTGACAGCGACCTACCTGTACAAATCAGCCACCAATTGCAGAGCACTCAAAGGAGATTTAAGATACATCTACAGCTCACTTGCTGCTAAGAAAAGTGTTGTTACTCCTTAACAAATAAGCATTTCAAGACAAAAATAATGCTGGAAGAAAAATAACTTTAATTAGAAAAAACTGAAGCTTCACAAAGCCATGAACGCATTCAAATCAAAATTGAAGTATCTACAGATACACGTTCAACTCCAAAAATAAAAGATGTCTTTCTGGAAGTAAGCATGCCATAGATAACCTCAAAATTTGCTACAAAACAACCTGTACCTTTATTTCTTCCTAATGTAATAGAGTAGCACCTGTTAACTCACAGATCTTCAGCCTGAGTACAACCACACAACTGTTTTACCCTACCACACCATCTTCAACAGAAACACCACCTAGCCCCAGGCACACCCACTTGCCTCCTCAAGGAATTTCATCCTAGCTAAAAATTCTTGCTTTGATTTAACACATCCTATGACTTTTTTTAAATACAAATCTTAACAAAACAAACTGGATGGGCAAAGCACCCTGTAACATGATGAAAACTGCAGCAACAACAGCAAAATAGCAAAGCCACAGGCTACAGCAAGTGCGGATTTGCTCAAATGCAACAACTGTAAACACAAAACTAAAGGAAAGAAACCACACACCTCCAAACAGCATCAGATACACAGAGATATCCAGCACATTACCATTGCTTCCACAGTTAACCCTTAAATGAGGTCTGGGAAGAGGTGGATCCTGGCTCCACCCCCTCCCAGTCACTCAGGAGCACTGCATGCACCTGAGCTCCCCTGGCTTGGCCCTGCCTTCCCACCAGGTGCACTGGTTCAAGCTGTGACAGCATTTCCACTACACACTCCATTTCATTTACCAGACAGCAGTTATTTGCTAATTCAACGGAAGAGCACTGGTGGCCAAAAAAAGAAGATTTATCTGTTGCAGTTGCTTTCCAGCAACAGCTTATCAGATTGATTCCGACTTGACAGAGAAAATGAGTATAGGTAAGCTTCATTAGTGCAGGGCATTTTTAGGAGAAAACAAGCTATCTGAGCCCATCGCTTCCAGCATCTGCCAGCCAGCAAACACTTGGCTGTAGCCAAGGTGGCAAGACAGATAGCACACTCACGTTCACTTGCTTATCTGGAAAAAGCACCCCACCAAAGGACGAAGCAAAGACCTGGATGAGTCAGTGCACAAGCAGCAGCCACCCACCATCTCCCTCACTGCAGTGCCTGTCTGTGCAAACAGAAGAGCTAAGTGTCTGTCTGCAGATGGAGGGCGTTTGCCTTGAAGTCCACCTAAACCCAGGCCATAAAGGGAGAAAAAAGGCAGTGCTGTAACGGCACTATCTTAAGTCAGGTGGCAATCCTTACACATCCTCCTCTTGCTCTGCACTTGCATTGCAACAATGGCTGTAGCTGAGAGATACTGCTGCTCTTGTAGCTCTTGAAGAAAAAGTGCTGAGACTGAAAGTTTGCATCACACTAACCATAACATAGCTATTAAGTTAAAGTGGTAGCAGATAATGACAGTCAATACTGACACTGGTCTGATTCCATCATTGATGTGCTTGGTCTGAAGGATAGAAGAAAAGTGAGAAGCTGGCACAGGATGCACAGACAGCAAGGAAACCTGCAATGAAGTAAAGGCTGCTTATGGAAAGTATCTAAGGCCACACTTTTGTGGTGGTTATACACAGGGATGAGCAGCTCACCTGCTCCTATGGGCCATGCATTCCCAACATGGCACTGGTCCCAGTATGCTCAGCTACTCAGAATTCCCAGTTGCAAGGAGCAGAGCTCAGACCCAATCTCCTTCTGCCCTCCCTGCCCAAAGCAGTGCTGCCCAACCAGGAGGATCCCTCTATGTGGTAATGCTGCAGCCCAAAGCAGTGACAGCACTGCAATTAAAAGCTGCTCTCAGAGGTTACACCCAGCACACACAAAAGAAAAGGCACATTTCCATGGGGAAAAATGCTCACTGCAATCACAGATGAGGAAGAAGGCCAAGGTAATGCAAGATTTAGTAGCTAAGGACTTTTCTAACAATTTTACAGAAGTTGCAGTAAAATACTGCATCATCTGAACGAACTGCCTATTTTTTCCTTTTTATAGTGCCTTAAATCTCTTTCAGTAAGGGACAAACCTGTCAAAGACTTGCGGACAGTATGTGCTTAGACAATTTGTAGTAACTCAGACTTCAGTAGGGCTCCTCGTATTTCTGAAGTGTCAAACATCATTGTGAAGGGAGGGCCCCCTTCCTCACCAGGAGGCAGCTGTGCCATGTGCCAAGCACTTCTTAAAATCCATTCTGTTTGGAGAAAGCCTATGACATACTCTACAGTATTCAACAGCCCATGACTGTGACCCATGAAATATCCCAATTTGTAATTACTATCACACAAAGCATCACCCCACCCAACATCACAACAGAATCACAGGACTTTTTTTATTACTAACACCTTTGCAAAGTCCCACCAAAGATGCTCAGAACCTAGAAAAATTCTGCAGTACTCTGCTAACCTGTACCAAGTGCAGCTCAGATGTACTCTCAAGGATAAACAAAACAGACCAAATGAACTGGCATAACAAAGTAAGGAGCAGCCATATGCCTTTAAAACAACATAATTGCCCAAAACACCTGCAGCACTCACTCCAAGCCTTCTGAGATTCCAAACAATCTTGCAGCTCGTCCTACCAAAGTATTGGAGGGTAGCAGAACAATTTGTCCTCAGTAACACTGCCACGAGCCCATCGGCAAGGCTGACCTCTCAGCCTAAGAGCTACAAAGGAATCCTTGCAGAGCACTTACATTAAGGCTGCATGGGAACTGCTGAGTCACAGCCTGAACTAGTGATTGAGCACCTGGGGAAAGGACCCAGACAGCCCTGGGAGCACAGATGAAGGCAATTCAGCTGTGTGAGCGGAAGGGGTGGAGCCTGGCTGCACCTCTCTTAGACCCCATTTAAAGGCTGACCCTCACTGAGAAGGGTTTTCTTCCTGGAGATCCCTCCTTAGTGAAGCTATTCCCTACAAATCTGGAATCTTCTGATACAGGTAAGCAATATTCTTCTCCTTTATAGCATCTTTCTATCACACTAATCTTTCTGTCATTGTACTTCTGTTGAAGTGTCTTTTTCCATCATACTGATTTGTCCAGTTGCTAAATAAGACTAGTACAACACAGCTTCTAGGTAGAAATTAATAATGTAAATAAATTATGCCATTCATTTTCCTCCACTGAACAAATAGTTTGTGTCCTTAATTTGTTATTTTTAAGATATCACCCTACCCTCAAACAAGTTTTAAATGAGTATGTACATACAATTGCTTTTATTCTATTTTATTGATGTAGTAGAACTGGGCTTTGGTTGAAAGGCAGTGCTAGGCAGCACTTCTCAGACTTCAAAAAGGCAACCTATAGCATCAGGAAAATCCTGCGCCAGTGAAAGCTTCTGAACAAAGTAATTCTGAATAGGGCAGCCTTAAGGGTAGGTTTCAGCCAGGTAATTAGTTCAGCACAGCTAGAAGCAACTCTGTGCAGGGCCCAGCACAGAGCAAACTACACACCCCAAAAGGCAGCAGCATCCTTACCTGCACTGCAGGTGTCTTCGCTCCCAGCTTGTGTTTGTAGGTCAAGTGGTCATGAAGAACACAGGGAGTTCTTAGGGATTGTAGGGCTGTGTTCTACAAATGAGAAAAAGAATAAATATAGCTTCAGCTGCCAGCAATATGTTTTGCACGATCTTCCTCCTGGTGATCACAGTCTGCTTATTATTGGTTATGTATCTTACATTGTGAGCACTAAATTCTGAGTAACCGATGTGGAGAAAGGGCCTTGTTGTGTCAGAAACCCACAAACTTTTGAGAAACCTCCCTTAACATAGTGGGCTATACATTCAAGTGTAATATAAGCATATTTTCAAGGTGTTGGCCTGCAGCACTCTCACTCCACTCTAGTTCTATGGCATCCTATGAAGCTCCAGAGAGGGAACTTCTTTTCCTATAGATAACAGTTCTCCAGTGCTTCTGCACCTGGAACTGTCTCCCCCACCTTGATGCACAGAAAACCTTGCTGACTGACTGCCTCAAAAAAATAAACTTTTCCTAATCATTAAATTCTAAGAAAGAAAAGTTCATTGGTGTATGATGCCTATACACACTCCAAAGGAGCTCAGGATAGCCTGATGCTCTCAATTATCCCATTCTTCCCAAGCACCTCATTAAACCAAAGGCAATATGGTGTAGATAAATCATGCTATGATGAGTACCAAGCCTTTCTACACTTCAGCAGCTTGCTAACCCAAATTCACTCTGCAGAGCTTTCAAAAGACAAATGGTACATCAAATACAATTTAGCCATCCAATACAATCACAGTTATGTAATGAACAAGTACTAAGAAAAATGGTTTTGATATTAGCTACAAAAGCTAAATTAGCAACAAATTCATGTAGCTGTGGCAACACTGTTGGCAATTACAGCAACAAGAAAAATAAATCAGAATTAGTTTGGAGAGACTCAACACATCACAGAGCGTGACACATGGGGAGCTGTTGCACTCTGACTTCTCCCTACTCCTTCACTACTACCAAGGCATGTGGCTTTTCCAGCAGCCCAAAGACTGCACAGGAAAATTACTTTCTATTGTAGATTTTCTCTCAAGGTCTCACACACAGAAGAGAGCAAAACAAAGTCCCAGCAATGATGAGGCACTCTATGAAGGAGCATCATAGACCAGACAACACAATATCTTAAGGCAATTCTTTTGTGGCTGCTGCAGGGGAAGGCCAAGTCACTGTACAAGCTCAGTGCAAGCTTCAGCCACTCCTTCAGCAACACCTTTCAACAAAAGCACAGTGGGTGGCTGTTTGCTTTTTCTTTTTTTAAAGGATTTCTAGTTTTTCAGCTGTAATATACGCAGCTTCAGGTTGGTACTGTGATTAGTTGACTGCAGGCGCAAGCTATCACTCCCACACCAGTAGCAACCCAGCACATGAGACCTGCACTCACTGAACAATCTCCCTATTCTTAAGCTGAGTTATGCCCTCCCAAGCCTGTGCCACCTGCCTGGACTGGCAGCCACTGACAGCAAGGGGACACCTCCTCACCTGACCAGCTTTCAGTTTCTTTGAGATGAGGCTTGTGGCCACCCAGCCTTCACCAGGTTTTCATGTTACACTTTGGGACACGAGGAAAGGCTGGAAGAGGCACTGCCTCACTAATGCCCAGCCATGTGTCACTCGCAGGCAGGAACACCTGAACACTACAATCTGTGTAACATTAAATACTATAGAAGAGATGACAGTTCCTGCAGCCACATCAAACATCTAGACATGAGAGGAGAAGCTACAGTGTACCAACAGCACATTTCACCAGCCCAGCCATCATCCCATAAAACTTTCTGAACACACGGCATCAATTCTGGGTGCTTTTTTCCTCGGCAGACTGCACAACCACAGCCTACTGAAAGCTCTTCCCCATCTCCAGCAGCTGTGGCAGCACGTGGAGGCCTCAGCCCGCTGGGACCCACACAGCGCTGCCAGCAGGTGCCGGGCACAGCGCGGTGTGCGGTGCGCAGCCCAGCTGCTGCCCTCCAGAAAGGCACCGACCGCGTGAGAAAGCCTTTGGTGCGGCTGGGAAGAAGCAGGCAGAGGGATTCTGGCGGCGAGAAGCGTTTGCATCACTCAACAACGCACAGGAAGGAAAGGGAGTTAAATTTAGAACAGGCACCGACCCGAAGGGAAGCTTGTCACCGGCAGCCAGCGCAGCTCGAAGCGAAGTTCTTTCCGGACACCCGGGCTCGCTCCGAACCGCAGGTCCGGCGGGCAGCAGCTTTATTTCCCAACTTTCGAGCTTCGCGCTCGCGGCCGCCACAGTGAGGCTTCACCTCGGCGGCTCTACAAGCAGCGGCCGGCGGCACAGCTCGGCCCAACGCACGGCGCGCCGCTGTCCCGCACCCTCAGAGCTCCCACCGTCCCCCAGCGGCTCCCCCGGCCCCAAAGGAACCCGTGGTCACGTCGTTCCGCTCCCCGAGGCCCGCAGCCCCGGCGCCGCCGCCCCGCTCACCTCGGCGCCGCCACGCACCGCCCACCGCGCCCGCGCTTCCGCGGGCGGCACCGCCAGGAGGCGGGAACAGCGCCGTCACTGCCCGCCCGGAATGCGCGGGAAGTCCTGAAAGGGGTGTAGTTGTGGGGCTGGGCGTGTAGGGCTCGGTGAGGGGTTTGGGGCGTGATGCGCGCGGTTTCGGAGCGTGTGAGGTCTAAGGGATCGGGGCGTGTCTGTTGAATTGCGTGGGAATTGGCAGGTATTTTTTCCTGACGAGCACACGTGTATAATGTGTATACATACATGTGTAGGGTCAGTGGGCTTGTGAATGGGTCCTGGAACGCCTGTGATAAATTGAGGGGTCTTGTACGTGGATCCTGAAAGGACTCTGGGCGGGGCGTGGTGTGTGTGTACAGAAGGTCATGAAAGGTGTGTGCGTGAGCTCTTAAGCGGAGGTTTGAAGGAATCTGTAGAGAAAAGGCCTGAAAGGGCTGCGTATAGGGCCTAGGGGACACGTGTATATATGTGTACGTATACAGGTCCAGCAAGGACTTACATGTGATGTCTAAGGGGTTTGTATATTGTTTAGGTTTGATGATTTGAGGATATAATTAGCTGGGTTTTTGTTTTGTTTTGTTTCTTTGTTTGTTTTTGGCTAGAAACAGTCTTCTGGGAAAAAAATTTGACTGAGCATCTGCTGTCAAAGAGTAGAAATCCGTGCCTGGTGTGATATGTGTCCACCTGTGCAGGTTTGGTTCACCTCAGCACTGGAAACCAGTTTGGCAGCTAGAAACTCAAGCAAACAGCCCTCTCCCCAAAGCCTCTTGCATCCACGCAGAAGCACATCACTGGAGCTGCTGCACCTGCAGCAGGTGGAGCCTCAAATTAAAGCACTCAGGTAAGCCAATTTGATTTTCAAACATCTAATGTCCTCCTGTGGAGATGGGCTGGCAATCTGTCAGCATCAGAGGACAAGTTTTTCTCTAATTGCAGAATCCAATTGCAGCAAACTTCAAGTGGTTGCTGCTATGCAGAAGGTGCGAAGGATAGCAGAGCTGGGCACAAAACTCTAAATTGCTTGGCTATCTGTGATGTAGATGCTGGACCTGGAAAGAGAAGGATGTGGTAGCAACTGTGAGGTGGAGATGGCATCCTGGGGAAGTTTTGGGGCAGGTTTTAGTGCATGCTTTTGGTGCGAATGCAAAACTACATTCGATTTTGAGAGAGCATTTGCAAAAACAAATGCTTGCCTTGGAGGAGCTGTTTGTCGCTTTACACGTGCACTGTGTACTTATGGCGAGGTGAGGAAACGCCGCGCATTGTGGCAATGGCAGGTTCACAGCTGACGCCCTGGGGGTGTCGGAGTCCCTCTCAGACAGGGAGATTTCCCTGTCCCGATTAATCAGCCGTTCTCCAACCAGTTGCCGTAATGCTCGGCTTACAGCAGTGCGTTTGCTGACTGCCCTGCCTGCGCTTTTTACCTAGCCCTGAGCACGGCAGTGCCGAGGGCTCTCCGCTGAGATGGGCATTTTCTCGGCATAAGGGGAGCCGCCGGCTGCCACCTCACGAGCGCGCTCCCACGCGCTCTTCCCGCCGCCGCTGTAGCACCGGAGCTCCGCCCCTGAGGAGTTTCCCCGCCCTCCGGCCCGCTCGCGGTCCCGCCCGCCGCCCGCAGGGAGTCGGAGGAGGGGAGACGAGGCGACGACCAATCCTCTCTCTCGGAACGGCGGCCGCGCGGCGGCGATTGGCTGCCCTCCCGGCTCGACGAGCCCCGGGACGGCGGGAGGAGGGCTCCGATTGGCCGCCGCCGCCCTCCGGCCCCGCCCCGCCGCTCCTCCTCTCCCCCACCCGCCGGGCGGCAGCAGCAGCGACCGCCGCCGCAGCGCGAGTCTGGCCGTGCGCGCGGGGCGGCTTCAGCGCGCGATGGCGGCCTCGGCGGGCCGGTCCCTGCCGCTGCTCCTCTGCCGTCACCGTGGCGCTGCCGCCACGCTCTCCTCCGCCGGCTGCTTCCCGGCTCTGGGGCGGCGCCGGCAGCAGCAGCGACACCGGACGGTGAGTGAGGCGGGAGCGTCCGCCGCGGGGCCGTGCCCTTCAGGCGGCGGTCGGGGAGGTTGCGGAGCGAGGAGGCGGCGGGAGCTTTCCGTCCGTCCGCCCGCCCGGAGCTGGGCCCGCGGGGGGCTGCGGCGCCGGCGGCAGCTGCGCGTTATTCTTAGCGCCGCGAAACTTGAGCGGGGCGGCGGCCCGCCCCGGGCGGATCCCGGCCCCGTCAACTTCCCTCGGCACGAGGGGGGGTGGTGGGGAGGAGCGGCGGCGGAGCGGAGCGGGGCCGGGCCGGGCGGGAGCTCTCCGGCCGTGCCGAGCTAACGGAGGTGGTGGTGGCCGCCAGGTGGCGCGCGGGCAGCCCACGGGGTCGCGGCCGGCACGCGCCTCGCCTCGCGCCTCGCACCGCGCTGCCGCGGGGGTGCGGCGGGGCTCCGGCTCCGGCGGGTTGCAAGGGGTCGCGGCGGTACGCGGGCTGCAGGGGGGTGGGAGTCGGCTTGCGTGGAGGTGCTGCGCTGCCGCGGAGATGTGGCGCTGAGGGACGTGGGCAGGGTGACCCGAGGGCTCTTTTCCAACATTGCTGCTCCTGTAGTTCTGGTCCGCTAAGCGGGCAGGGAGTAGTGTGCGCACGGGGAGAGCCTGTCGCTCAGTGCCTCGAAGCGATGATAGATGGGCCTCCTTGAATGAGAGGGGAAGTGGTAAATGCTCTTATGGGTGAGTCCCTTCGACTGGAGTGTATTGGAAGAAACTGCTCTAATGACTTGACTTCTGCGAGTGAATAAGGGAGAACCGTCTTGAAATGGGTGAAGTGTGAAGAATGGTGTTTAGATAACGTCAGAGGGAGTATGAAGGTCTGAACGCTCAGGTAAATACTTGGTTTAAGAAGATTCTGATGACGTTGCAGTTATGCTGGGAGATGGGGGGCTGAAATAAAGCATTTATAGCTTTCTGATGTGTTTTGACAGCAGTGAACGGACTGCTGTTATGTCCCCTTCTGCCTGGGAGTGGGTGGATGGCTGCAGCTTTGGAGAGGAGAATGGGTGAACCATTGGTTTGTGAAGCAAAGCATCAGAGCTGCTGGTGTGGAGGTCTGAGTGTTGCTGTAACATTGGCTATGGAAGAGGGCGATGGGAGAGGCAGGCAAGCAAGATGAGGTAGGAGTCTGGTTCCTTTTTCTATGCAACAGCTATGTGAACAAAGTGCCAAAGAATGGAAGCAGGAGGAGTGATGGGGAGAAGCCTAACCAGTGCTTGGCAGAAGAGGTTTTAGCTGATGCAAGGCATGCCGCAGCAGTGCGAGCACACAACTCCTTGTGTTGACTTTGTGAGCAGTGGCAGGGGAGCTCAATGCTTGGTGGGCTATCAGGGTGTTGGCTCTGCTAACATCTAGTAGAGCTTGTAGCAGGCCTAGATTGTGAGATTGCCTATTAGCAAGGTCTTACAGTGCTTCCTGCTGCTTAGAACTCGCTGCTGCTTTCCTGTCAGGTAGCTTGTCCTCAGAAGCATGGAGAGAAAATGATGCAGATGTTCCTGAGAGGGAACTTCCTTAGGAAGCAAGAGAATGTCCTCATTGGCTCCCTGCTTGTTCTGAGAGGTGTGGGTGTTAAGGGTAAGCTGCCAGAGGTAAGAGCTCTGTGCTGCTGAGATGCAGTGCGGGTGGGAAGCAGCCTTTTGTGAAAAAGCTTACTTTATGAACCTAGGTGGTTGTTTTGTTTTTTTTTTTCCTATACATGGTGTTAGATAGACAAAAGACTTAAATACATCTGGTTTTGTATGTCAAATGCTTAATCTTTATGGCTTTCACCTGTAAAGAGTAGACTCATGTTATTGTATTAGTCTATGTAACAAGCTGGTTCAGTTATGTTGGGTTAAGATGTAATTGGTTATTTCAGTTTTGGAGAAGAGTATCTGCAGGAAATCAAGGGCTCAGCTGCATGTGGTGCTCTGTGGTACTTAATCTTTGTGATTCTGGGTAGATGGCAGACTCCTTTTAGGCCTAAAAAAAGAGCAAGAGAGGACTATAGAGACTGAACTGCCTGCAGTTATCAAGCAGTAGCAGGCTGGTTTTAAAAGCTGCCGTAGGTGAGAACCAGAGTTACCTATGGTGAGAGGTGTGCTGGGTGGAGAAGGATTTTGGTGCTGACTCTCCCATATTGAATCGCACAGCGAGATGAGTTCCATAGGGTGAGAAGTCCCAGGAGGAAGATAGGATGGGCGCTGCGCCAAGGCCGGCTCCTCATGGCTGAGATACACGCAGCACAGTTCAGCCGCCCTTTCAGGCTGTGGCTGAAACTGTTGCAGCATCAGTTTTTGAAGAAGCTGTTGCTCCCTTGTGTCAGGATATCGTGGGCCCTGTAGCACCTCATGCCCTGGCTGTTACAAGCAGGTTTGTTGCCATTCTGTTGCCTATCTCCTGAAACAAACTTATTTGGTAGGCGGTGCTCGGATTTCACAGAATTCACCTGGTGGTGCTGACCGGCTGCCAGGGCTGCAATTGCTGGAAGAACATCTTGGTGTGGTGTCTGGATTTTTTTGCTGAGGATGGAAACTAGCAGGCTTCCTTAATTAAATGCACTTCTGTTTTCCTGATCTCGCCTACTGCCGATCATAATTTTGAAATGGATGATTAACAAGCTGAAGAACTGCTGGCTGTGCAATGGATTGAAGGGGCATAAAACTGTTATGCTTACCAGACCTTTGCCTACCTTGACCTCAGTTGTTTCCCATGCTGAGATGCAGAATACTAAATTCAACCCTGCCCCTCCCCCAGGGCTTTACTATGGAAGTCCATGTAGATATTTTACAGCAGTTTTGTTTGATTTTTTTTTTTTTTTGTCTGATTTTTTTCCTTCATAGTGTTG